TTTTTTTTTTTTTAATGATTTGTTGACTTATTTATTTATTTATTTATTTATTTATTATTTAGGTACCAGAGATCAAACTCAGGACCTTGCGAACTCAGGATTTTTGCTTGCCAGGCAGGCAATTATATGGCTGAGATATCTCCCCAGCTCTAGATTGGCTACTTGTAAACCTCCCAAGAAACAAAACAACTGCAGAGGATAACTGAAATTTCAGCAAAATTTCAGGGTTTTTCGTGAACCATTGTTGGTTAGGTTTTAACAAACTCTGCACTTCAACTTCGCGAGAGTACACTGTGTTTACTAAGTGTATCTATGAATACATAGGAAACAGAAATAATCAAAAGCAATGGAAACAGGGACCAGGGAGATTGATCAGCTGCATAAGCACATGCTGAGACCGAGCCTCTCGAGAGAGCCTATGACTTCCCAAGGCATAGAGATTACAGAGCTGTAGCACTGGCCCCAAACGCTAGATGCTACCTCAGCTGTGTCACGCTGCTGGCTCCTCCTGCAGATCCTTCTCTGCATATTGCAGAGGTGAGTTCAGGGCTCCTCCCCAGCCCAGCTCCCAGCACTCGCCTACTTCCCACCACTCTCAGTCACTCATTCCCAAGCCTCTCCTTTCTTCACGAATTAATAAAACCCAGGTTCAGCCCCGAGTCAAGGCCCTTGTTCCAGTTAACCATTATTGTAGCTGGATTTAGGACCCTTGGTTCCCTACAACTACAAATATGCCTTAGTGTCTTTATTCACACCAAGGGTTGCATTGGAAGTGATAGATTGGGATTAACTTGCTATGATTCCAATAGCTTTTCCATGGTATTACAAATATAAACTTCCTGGGCTACAATGAGGACCAGGAAGGGCTCACACTATCCACTCCTGCTTAAGTGATTCATGCTGCTTCTGCCTATTTCTCCTCATTCTATTTTGCACTGTGTTCTTCAGTGCTACTCTGTTGTCTGATGTTGCTCCTGCTCCTCTGTTTCCTCACTGCTGTCAGAAGTCTCTGGCTACACAGCACTCCAGGTTCTTGCTCCTGTTCCTGCCAGAGCCTCAGCTGACAAAAACGGGAGGTTTGAATTCACAGAGTCTATGTTTTCCTCCTTACTTGAGGGAATGTAGGACCTTGGGTACAAACCCCACATGTACACAATGTCAGCAAGCAGGTTACTACTTGCCACTCCCCCAAAATCATTGTTTATTTCTTCCAGAAGAATAGTTATAGCTGCGCCTGTGACTACCGAGCCAGGAATTATATTTCTCAGGCTCACTCGCCAGTTCTGGCCATGTGACTAAGTATGGCCCACGGAATGTGAATGGGATATTTCTGCTGGAGAGATGAACGTCTGCCTCTCCTGTCCATTTCTCCCACGCCCACTGGCTGGAGGAACATGACAGATCAGCCTTGTTGGACCCAGAAAGGCCAAGCACACGGCAAGGACCAAAGTCTTCCTGCTACTTCTGCAGTGCTACGTGAAAGAGATGAAGTTGTTTTGTTTAAGCCCGTATTTTGGGATCTCCTTGCTACGTGATGCATCACATAATCCATTAGTTTTGACGTTCTCATGGCCCGTAGGACGTGTTGGAGCCATGGCAGGATGGTACCTGGCAGAAGATCAGGGCTACAGGAAGCTAAATGGAGAGAATTCTTGTATTTCTTCTTATGTTTTTGGAGAGGCTTTATTTTACATGTATGCCTTTTCTTTGTTCCTTCAAACAGAAAAAGAAAATAATCTTTTAAAATTATAAAAGAATTTAAAAAAAAGAATTGCAAGCTTTTATATTTTAATAGTATTCTAGGGTTTTATTTTAAGTTTTATAGTATTTTGTTAAGTTTTCATTCCACTTCTCTTCTGCGGGCCTTAATCCCTAGCTAGAAACATCTTGTCTTGGGTATCATGACATGGAAAAATAACCACACAAACTCCACATTGACACAGTGCTAGTTATCTCCACAATACCTTTACATGAACGCATGAAGTTTGCCCATTTACGAGACAGGAAACTGAAAAGGCACTGAGTCCCTACAGAGACTGACAGAGAAGAAAAGCGTTTGAGCAGCAGACTCAGGCCTCAGCAGCGTCCTAGCCTCAGAAAGCTAAAGCGATGATCAGTTTCTAATAGCAAGAAGTTAAGAGGTAAGTGGAAGAAAAATAAATCCATTAGGAAAATGAAGTCAAATTTAGGAGGAAAATGTTTTCATTTGATAATGGTACAACAACTACAACAACAACAACAACGTATGGGATAGGAAGAAGGATATGAGGTGGCATTAATTCTTTATTTTATTTTTATTTTAAATTTATTTATTTTTTCCTATTTAATTTCTTATAATTTTTAATTCTTTATGTATTTTAGAGCTTGGAATCAAAGGGTATTGTTTTGACAAATCCAGGAGTAAAGGTGAAGTTTTTTTCAGTAGCTGAAAAATGTTACTGTCATGGCTTCCAATTGGACAGCACAAGGGCAAAAGCAGTGAAGACACACTGACTTCATAAATCTGAATTGGAAATTAAAGGGTGGCATCTCAAAGGAGTATAATTACTCCTGGAAGAAAAATAAATCCATTAGAAAAATGAAGCCAAATTTAGGAGGTACAACAACAACAATGCATGGGATCTCTGTTTTTAGAGGAATTCTGAGAAAGTTAATTCTAAGAGTGATGACTGGAGCAAAAACACACTTCCTTAGACACTGGCCACATAGGCTCCTCCCATCACCAACACGGAAATGGGATGGACTCTGCCCTCCAGCCCTTTGTTTTTTCTTTTTTCTTGGTGGTACTGGGAATTGAACTCAGAACCTTGCACTTGCCAGGCAAGTGCTTATTCTACTGAGCTATCTCCCCAGCCTAATCCCTTTCAAACAGTGGTGCGAGGTGGGGTGGAGCTGGAGTGGGGTCGGAGTTTTGGGAGCACTGCCCCACCTTGGCCAGGACATTTTCAGGGGGTGTCATTGGCCAAAAGGAAAGTTATATTGCAACAATTTACTCCACTTTAATAAGATGAAGATTTGAATACATCAAAACATGAATGTTTTTCTCTATAGATCATTTTAATTTTGTATTTAAATAGGTTAACACTTTGTTATGATGGAGGGGCACAAATTGAAGGACCACCCCAAACTCTAGCTGCACCACTGCCTTCAAAGGAAAGAGCCAGAGTGCCTCACATGCCTTCTGCTCATCTACTGCCAGCCAGAACTTTGCCACACGCCAGAGGTAATCGTAAAGAAAGTGGGAAAAGATAGTTTGAGTCAGGGAGCTGTTTGCCTGGTGCCAATCTCTGGAAGTAAAATGCAAACCTTTCTAAGTAGCAGTAGTTCCTACACGTGCATGAAAAATGTATAGATGACAGAATGGAGCGTGTTGGCACTTAAAAAAACCCCAAGTCCTAGAATATATAAAAGAAGTCAATATGATTAACACAACAAGGTCAAACATCTTGGTCTTATCAATAAGAGTAAATGTGCTTAACTTGTTTTAGAAAAAGCTTTGAGGTTGGGTTAGTATCAACTTTTCATTATGAAAAGGTGACTCATTTAAAATATGTTTTTCAGGGCTGGAGAGATGGCTCAGTGGTCTAAAGCACCTACTTAGAACAAGCTTAGCAAAGCACAGGGACCGCAGTTCAATCCCCCAGCACCACATGCCAGCCAGCCCCACCCCCTGGTGGGCTGAGCTGGCCACACACACACAAATAAATAAAGTTTTAAAAAAATAAATAAAATAAAATAAAATATGTTTTTCAAACACCCAGAAAAAAGATATGGGCAAAAAATATTCAGCATATCTCAATAACAAACCAGTGGTCACGACCTGAATATCAGTGAAAGCGTAATTTGGGCCAAAAAGTTTTAAGCAAGGACAAATTATCCGAGACGCTATACAAAGTAGAAATGTCTATTAGAAGAGCCTTGTTCTTGTTTTCTTTTAGCCCATGAGAGATCAGTAGATAAAACAGAGGAAGAATAGGAAGAGCCAAGTAATAGTCACTTTGCAAAGACTAAATTTTCTTTTCTTTTCTTTCTATGTTATCTGATTTATCTTGCTGTATTTATTTTAGAGTTTGGTCTCATTTACACTCATTCCAGTTACTATATAGTAGGAAAAAGATGTTACATGCAGATTTATATGCTATAGAAAACTATTTAGAAAGTACATGAATTGTAAAGAAAATTCCTTAATCCCTGGTTCCGAAAAAAAAAAAAAAAAAAGAAGAAGAAAATTCCTAGTGAGAGAACAGTAGATGAAATACAAAAGAATAAGTAAGTATTTCTATTTCTCCTCAATAAATCTGCCAGCTCAATGGATTTAGGATCGGGGTTCCATAGAACTTGGGAAGAGGGTGGGGAGAGAGCTTTGTGAGTTTATCCTAAAATTCATCCCCAGCAGGGTTATTCTAGCTCTGAATCTCCTTTTCTCTTTAGTAGCTCCTTCAACTGCAAAAGAAAAGCTAATGTACAAAGAGGTAAAGTCACTGCATAGTCCAAGTGACAGCTAAAATCTGTTTTTTTTTTTTTGTTTGTTTTTGTTTTTGTATTTTAGGGAAGGGCCTACAGGGTGTTCAGGGTCTCACTACTAGATTGTACTCATAGCGATCCACCTGTTTATAGCCTTTCCAAAGCTGGGATTACAGGCACGTGCAACCACACCGAGTCTCAATTGCCATCTCAGTGTACCCTGGGTGCAGTGCTTTAATCCACTGAGCTATTTGGCCGGCCCTAAAAATTTTAATTATTTTATTTTAGTTTTTAAAAATAAAAAATAATAAAAACACTTAGGCACGATACAGAATTTCACTAAGCAAAATGATAGGAACTCAACATTGGTGGTTCTATTGCATATTGCTGTCTTCCAATTAAAACCTCTTTAGGGCAAAAGATTCTCTAGTACACACACTATTAGCAACACACATGACCCAGACTTCATATGCACACCATGAGCGGATTTCTACAGTCATTCATCACAGGAGATCAGCGCCTTAGTGGGAAACACCAACAGTGTCCTACAACAGAGACTTCTAGGACAAAGAAAAACAAAAGACCAAACACAAAAGAAAAGTGGCTATCACAGTGAAAATGAAAGTAATTTGTGTTAAAATGGCCCTGAAGTAACAGTGTTAATAATTCAACTGAAAAAGTTAAATGCTTACTGTTTCATTATAAAGTCCTAGTTTAATAACTTAAAGATACACATAAGGAAAGCATGTATATATAATCATATTTAAGTAAATAAAATTATATCCCAAAGTATGTTTATACATGCAAAGACATATTTCTGATAAAACAATCACCATAAAAAACAAATTTTTAAATCAGGATAAAAAATCATGAAGGTATAAGCATTTTGAAAGGAATACAGTGTTACTTTACAAGGCGTTCATTTTTTGTCATATAAATGGCATAGAAAATAGTGATAATCTTAGCATTAAAACAGTGCACTTGTAAGATAAAAATAAAACAAATTCTTATTTGTTCTTACTTCTTTTGCCAATGTCATTTCCCAACACAGAGTGGTTTTCCACACGCATGGCATCTAGAAAGTGACAGATGGTGATTAGAGAACAGTACTTTAATTAGAGAGCTGTAATTAAAATTACAAATACTACCATAGCATCATTTCTTTGACTTCCTTCTGAAAACTGATGGGTGCAAAATTGACACTGAGGATCTGCCTTTCATTCCCTAAGACTTTGGGAAATCTCTTAAGTACATACGCAGACCAGTCTTGTCCTTTACGCAACAGCGTTAGCAACAGTTTTCTGGTTGAGGTTTAAAATTTTTAATGAAGATTAAAAAAAATTTGTAAAACTTAATAGAAATAAAACAATGTAAATCAATTATATGTTGGAGGACATCCTTTATTTTTTATTTATTTATTTTGGCAGAACCGGGGATTGAACTCAGGCCTTTACACTTGCCAGGGAAGCGCTTATTCCACTGAGCCATCTCCCCAGCCCCCATCCTTTATTTTTAGTTACAAATAGTTACCTGGGGTATTTTTCCTGGCTGGTATCAAGGTCATTTGCATTTATAGGCCTTCCTAAGCTGTGACAAAGTGACCCTACTATCTGCCAGGTCTATCAGCTGAAGAATGTGGCTTTGTTTGTTCCACAGGTGAGGACAGAAATCACATAAAACCAACACTCTGGTATTGACGTGCCAGCATAATGAATGTGGGACTGCCGTTTTCACCAGTGTGTTTGTACTCCAGCATCCATTTATAACCAACAGAGCCAATCTCCAGCCCTCCTCTGCAGTTCCAAAGTGGTGGGTTAAGCCAATACAGAGAAAGGGCTTCTGGATTGCCCTTGTTCCTGGTCCCCATGTTCTCACAGATGCACTTCTAATTTCTATCGGTTTATCAAAAGGAATAGCTCATGCTTAGTTTTTGGTCAATTTTGCATGCTTATATCTAGTAATCTGAATAACTATTTGAAGACAACAATAGGAAATATAGTACCAATTGTTAATTTCCTATCTTGTTTTGAAATTCTGTATCATTTTAAATGTTCTTTAGTTTTTATTTTCTTTAAAATAAAAAATAAAAAAAGAAATGAGAAGCATGGTGCAGATTCCTAGTATCCTGTAGCCTGCTGACTGAGGGCTCACTTCCTGTTGGTGAACCAATCTGCCTGCTGTTCTCCTAGAACTCTGATCACCTGCCACAGTATCACCCAGTGTCTGTGGTATTTGTGTCTGTGGCATCTTCTCCACCCCAAGATCTTTGAGCACCTTACCTGTCATGGAAGATGTGTGCCCACTGTCTGTCCTTGCTTCCTGGCCTCCTGGCACACATTCTGAGGAGCAAATGACACAGGAACACTTATTTCCAGGTCCTTGCAGCTCTGCTCCTAAATTGTGATTTGTAAAAAATGTTCATTGATGCTCTCTTCCACCTACAGATCCTTCTTCCTCCCAACCATAGCGACTCCTTACTCCTAACTCCTATAGCAGAGTGGCTCCATCTCTGGAATCTCTTTTCTCATTCCTATGTATGCAGTATGATCTTGCCCTTCCTAGATGATGCTAAAATTTTTCACTTGCAAGAAAGTGCTAATTAATAATGTATTATAGATATAGAAGACACTGGAGGAACAATGCCTGGTTTTAGGGAGGAAAGATGATACATGCGCTTCTAGGAGCATTAGTTCTGGGGTGTGAAGGTCTCGAGACATTAGAATGGCAGCTAAGATCTTCAGGACATTGGACAGAGGCTTCTCCATGGAAAGAGTTTGCAGGCCAGCTGACTGGAGAGATCTGCTAGGAATCATTGTGTTGTGGATGGTGACTGAAGCCATAGGAGTGGATGAAATGCTTGGGTGGGGTTTCGTGTAATCTGAGGGAGTGACAGGGGCCACTCAAATACCTGAGAGCACTTTGAAAACTCATGGCTACGATGAGGCACACCTTGCATCAAGTTGCTTTTGGTTCTTGTTCGTCTTAGATCCAGCAGTATCTCCAGCCCTTCCCCTTTCACACTGCACCCCCCATCTTTTTACCTTTTCATACTTTCTCTATATAGTGTCAATTATGCCTCATCTTTTTTTTTTTGAACTGGGGATTGAACTCAAGCCCTTGTGCTTGCCAGGCAAGTGCTTATTCTACTGAGCTATCTCCCTGGCCCCATGCCTCATCTTTCATGCCTCGCCTTTGTCACCTCCTGTATATATCTCATTCCACACGTTTTTCTACATTCATATTACTGGGCTGAGTTTTATTTCTGAGGCAATCTTCTTATTGATCTTCCAGCCATTTTTACAGTGCCAATCTCTGCCTCTGTCATCACCATTTTATCTATATTCAGTTTGACCTCACAGATTACTGCTTTCATCATCATCAAATCCCAGTTCCTTTGACACTGACCACACTGTCAGCGTTCTATGTCACAAGCCTTTCATGGACTTTGTTTCCATGTTTCTGGTACAACTTTTGAGTGAAAACTTGGAAATTATCCTTCTTTCCACCCCCACTCCCTCCCCACAACACCCAGTCTGGTACACTTGGATCCATGCCCACTTAGGAAGATGGGACACTTTTTCAGACATCCTCCCACTAGATGACACAGCCCACCTTTCCCATTCTTTCTTCTTGTGTTATGCACTCAGCCTCACCCCTCCCTCTAGGAGCTTCACTGTTCTTTTGCACCCGGTCCTACAAACTTGTAGAAAGTGGTTAGAGTCTGGGGACAGGCGTGTGTGTGCATGTGTGTGTGTGTTGAGGAGGGATAAGAAGAATTTTCCTGCTTGCACACAAGACTAACACATAATTGGTTGCTCTATCACATGCTAACAGGTCTAATACCCTTCTGATTCTCTTCTTCTATTCATCTGAAATCTTAAGACTGACAAGACACTGAAGAGAAATAAGGAAACACCAGTCTATAAACTTCAGCTGATAGCTAGCCGAGCAATCCGGAGCCTGCAAGTGAGTTCAGAAGACAGCACTTCCACTCAGCGACCCCCTCAGATCCAACAGAGACCTAGTTTCTTTTCTCATCTTTTTTATTCTCTTTATCAGTTCCTGCCACGGTCCCCTTTCCACACTTCTAACTCTGTCTCTAAATCTGCCAATCTATGTCTCTCTGACTTGTCTAGTCACCTGTATTGCTTTTGCAGGGATCCTCTTAATCTTCGTTCTGTCTTTGTTCTTCTAGTAATCCTTCCAGGTACTTGGTTTTGTTGTTTTGTTTTGTTTTGTTTTGTTTTGTTTTGTTTTGTTTTGTTTTGTGGTACCAGGGATTGAACTCAGGACCCTGTGCTTGCCAGGCAGGCACTTAATCTACTGAGCTATCTCCCCAGCTTCTAGATACTTTGTATACAAAACAGGCACTTCTATTCCTACCCTGCCTCTCTGTCTGTGACTTTCATCTTTACCACTCTATTGAAATGCATCTAGCTCAGCACACACATGTGCACGTGCGCGCGCGCACGCACACACACACAAATATTTGCCAGTTATCTATTATCTATCTATCTATCTATCTATCTATCTATCTATCTATCTATATGTCTATCATCTTGGCCAAAAAAGTATACACACTTCAGAAGTTCACTGTACTAACAAATGTCTGGAAGCTGATGGCCACCACTTTAAGTATTTCTTGTAACTGTAGAGGCCAAAGGTGACTTGTATGAATCTCACAATGTCTCAGTAAATTTAGCATTGAAATATTTATACAAGTTTTCTTATCTTGGTGTACACATTTTGGGCAGACTATGTATATCATACATATATATGTACATATTACACACATATATACACATAATATGTACATATACCCATGTATGTGTGATACACATGTATTTTATATATTATGTACCTTGTTTGTTGTTGCTATTAAATAATTTTTTTTCGTGAATCAGGTACTGATGCATTTCCCTATGAATATTTTGGGTTTCTTTTACCACCTGTTTAAACTCTGATCATGTTGCATAGCTCTTTTCTTCCTATTTGTCATATTCAATAGTCATTTACTGTCAGACACTTGGATTACTAGTGCCTCTTGTTCCTTTGGGTGTTTGACCTTTATAACGTGTGTATATCTAATTCCTTAGCCTAAAATGAGGATTGCAAGAGTTAGCCTGCTGAAGTCTTAAGGGTTTTGTGATGACAGAATACTAGTCAAAGGACACTGAAGTAACACAATATAGTCCAATTATGCTGGGAAGGACATTTGTCAAAAACTATATTAACATTGGAGAGTGATTGATCCAAAGTTTTTATTTCTGTCTATAATTACATGGGAGGTCCAGTTGTCCTTTGTGGTTTCTACAATTACAAGAGACAAATGACCATGTCGATAGAAACTTAAGATCTTTGTGTGACTAGGCAGGAGAGTATTAAAAAAGGTAACATCATTTTGTCATTTATTTCTTCTACAGTAACAATATAGAATTACATACATTTAGTTAAGAAGACTCATCTTGGCAACATGAGTTTATAGTTATTTCCTGCCTTCTTCCATTTTCTAAAGTTATGAGGAGTTCCCAGGATTAACGGGATGCAAGGCAGTGAAGGTGCTCAGAAATACAGTTGTTTTTAATTCAGATTCCTGACATCCTGCGGACCAAGGCTCGGCATCCTAATCTTCTTTACCTGATCCACTTCTTAGGGCTTCAGAGCGCTCTTCTCTATGATTCAGTTCAGCAGAGTCACCATTGCTGAGCCCTGGAAAAAGAAAGAAAATGCCTTCATGCTCTTAGATTGGGTCTTAGGCACCAATCCAGCAGAGAAGTGTTTAGAAAGAAACTGGAGAAGGGCAGCTGGTGCAGGAGGTTGAGGTGTATTCTATCACCAACTGCTCCAAGAAGCAGCCCTGAGGCTGCGGCCAAAACCAGCTTTGCCATGAAACACTCTCCCTTTGGTCACCATTTCTTGTATTTCTTACCTTTTTTACTTGTTTGTACACATTTCCCTCTCTCTCTCTCTCTCTCTCTCTCTCTCTCTCTCTCTCTCTCTCTCTCTCTTTTCTTTGTGGAACTGGGGATTGAACCACGCCCTTGCACATGCCAGGCAAGTGCTTATTCAACTGAGCTATCTCCCCGGCCCCATGACTTTTTTATCTGGTGGTGACATGGAAGCAATATTTAAAATGTGTCAGTACCTCCCCTGGCTGAGCCCTAAATGATTGAGCTGAGCAGAGGACAGTCTATATTTGGGAACTATTTTATTCTTTTTTATGAGTGAAAAATAAACGCATTGGGCTGGGCCATTGTGCACTTTCAGGTGCACATGTTAAACCAATTAGCCCAGTCCAACTAACTCAACATGTATAATGTGAATCATCTAAAACTAATGTATTTATTTATTTATTTTATTTTATTTTTTTAGCTCCATGCAAAGTCAGAGGAAGGAAAATAGCCGGGTGAGGGTGTGTTAGATAAACTTGGGTGAAGTGGCGGTGCTGACGGCTGGGCCAGTATCTCTGCGTGGGCTGCCCTAGAGGTGCTTGGATTCCCAGGGCTCAGCCGGGCATGTAACATGTCAAGCTTCTGATCCATAGACTTGACCACGTTGTTGATGGACTTGAATTTTTTCTCAAGGGATGCAAGTCATGCATTGAAGTCTGCCTGCTCGACTGCAGTAGGTAGATTCTTCTGGATTCTTATTAGGAGTCCAATTTTTGCCCAAACTCCCCAAGATTGGCTGCAACACCTTTGAGAAGTATGTTGACATCATTGATGTCAGAAGCCTTGAGGATCTCAGATATAGCTTCCAGCGCTTGAGACAGAATGTCCAGTTGACAGTTGCTCCAGCTCTGTTTCTGTTTCCGGATCAAGTATTTGGTCTGGATCTTTCTCCGTTGTCCCCTGGACTAGGTCTTTGACACTCACTGACAACAGCTTCTCCTGCAACTTCCCCTCTGCTTTCGGCTTTCAGCAGTGGATCATTTTCGGAGCTGGCCTCGGCTTCAACTGCTTCCTCTCTGCCATCCCTGACCTTGAGCCTATGGAGCAACTCAACCAAACACAACCTGGTCAGGATTGACGGGTATGGTTTTCTAGTGGCTTGGTTCCTATTTTGTTATTTCAAAGGGTATTAAGAATTGTCTGAATGAAGCTATTGTAGAAAAGGGGAGTATCTGTTACTTCTAGAGTTTTTATTTGGCCTGATGTCTTTTACAATTGTTATGTCTTCCATGTAGAAAAAGGAGAAAAATGAAACCAGTGATCTATAACTACAAGGACAGTACATTTTATGAGTACCCACACTGTGGACAGGATTAAAACTATGAAGACGCTGATGGTTAATTCTCTTTTCATCTTAATACAGATCTCCAGCCAATGGAGCAGAGACCCAAAATTATTTAGCTCAAGTTGGAAAATGAAAGCCATTTTGAAACCAATATGCATTTGTTGGTTGCAAATAATTTAGCAGTGAATCTGGACTTGCATGACTATGAGTTCTTGTAAAATATGCTCACATTTGGCATAAATATCATGCAATTTTCTGCAGTGAACTTAAGAATGGGATTCTATCTTGGATTCTATTGCAGGTGCTTTGTAATGTAGTACATTGTCCTAAAATAATAAAGTGCTTTTGAATTCTAAAATACACCAAGCTTCACGGTTTAGAACAAAGCATCAGAGACATTTGCTGAACCCATGGTGCTAGTTCTGCTTCTTCTGGGCACTTCCTAACACCATATAATGTGCAAAAACGCCTTCATGGTTTAAGTGCTGAAGTCTCCCCATCTATGAAATAGGAAGGAACAATCCTTATTTTGCCAATTTTTTGTTGTTCTAAAGATAAACGGAGACCTTAGTTGCCCTCTCAAGATTTTTTTCAGTGATCACTATTTGGCCAACATCATGTTGACTATCAACTGTTAAAAGCTGTGAGTTTAATGGTGATAACAAAAAGGCTTTCATTTTGTCAATAATTACAGAGTAGCAAAGTCTTTCAATTTTAAACAAGTTTGTAACAAAACCAAGCAACAGCAAACTATGTCTTTGTCTTCACTACCAAGTAGAAGATGAGCAGAAGGAGAAAGCATGCTGGCGGTCCAATATTTTGGGGTACACAGGTCTGGTGATACGTAATAAAAGGTTATTCAACTGCAGTTGACTTCTTAGGCCTAGATTTAAAAATTCTCTACAATTTTCACAATATCTAGAAGGCCAGGCATGGTGGTGCTTGCCTTTACTTCCAGCACTCAGCAGGCTGAGGCAGGAGGATCACTGCAGGTTTGAGGCCAGCCTAAGCTACATAGTGAGGTCAAGGCCAGTCTGAACTACATAATGAGACTCTGTCTCAAAAAACAAAACAACAAAGTAAGCTGAAGGCCAGCCTGAACTGCATAGCAAGACCATGTCTCAAAAAAAAAGGACAACCCCTCACAAAACAAAACAAAACATCTACAGGGAATAAATCAGAGAGTGGGTTGGACCATGCTGTGATGTGTTGCTCAAGCTCTGACTAGGACTCCCAATCTCCCGGAGCTGGGGAGGGAGGACAGGCCTTACCTGTTGCATGCAGCCCACCTCTCCAGTCTGAGCGCTTCCAGAAGTTGAATACAGGGAGTGTCTCCTCTTCGCTGGATTCTGAAGAATCAGAGACATGTTCTCTTCCTGCAGAAAGGACCAAATGTTCCCAAGGGACTCTCAGTGTGGGACAAAGAAACCAAGGGGAAGAACATCTTATACAAAGAGAACTGGGGAAAACATAGAAAGCCTGACCTCCCAGGGCAAGTATGTCCCTCCCTCAGACTTCTGTGACCTGTCTCAAATCTGTGAGCATGAGGCTGGGATTTTACCTCTGATGGGCCTCTCAGTTTCATCCTGGCCCTTTGTCTTCTTACACTGTCATCTTTCACTTGTCCTTTTAAGGACCTGTAGTTGATCTTATATCACTATGTATATGCTTTTATAGCTTTGTTTCTTAGAGTAAACATGGAAATTTGGAATCAGAAAAGATGCACCTTTTCCTTGTATAATGGCTACTCCTCCCTTGTAAACATAAAAAGAACATTTACACTTCTGTTTTAAAAAATAACAAAATTTTTTATTATATTTGAATCATTGACTTCTCTGGGATCATATCCTATGAATTAGAATTAATCTCTTGAAGGAAATACAGTTCATTGATAACCATACTTCTTACCTCTTTTTAGAGGGCTTTTTCTGAATGTAGGTGAATCTCTGAACTCTCTAGGTTCTGTAAAGAAAAAGGGAGAAAATCACTGTTTGCACACAAATGACCAGTGCTACAATAACTCACACAGCAAATGGGCTTGGACTTCTAATGAAGATTTTTTTTTTTTTTTTTTTTTTTTTTGTGGTACCAGGGATTGAACTCAGGACCCTGCGCTTGCCAGACAAGCACTTATTCTATTGAGCTATCTCCCCAACCCTCTAAAGAAGTTTTGAAAAACATTTTCCTTCCATTCAGTCCCATTCTTTAGGACTAAAGTCATAAGATTGTGATCCAATCTGGCTTTTTAAAAAACTCTTTATGTAAGAAAAGAAAGAAGGACAGCTTGGATAATTGCACTGCTGATTTCTACTGGTCTACTAAAAGGGAGAGTTAAAATCTATAAATAACTTTTTTTAAATTTTTTTTTAAATTTTATTTATTTATTTGTCTGTGTGTGTGTGGCCAGCTCAGCCCACCAGGGGGCGGGGCTGGCTGGCATGTGGTGCTGGGGGATTGAACTGCAGTCCCTGTGCTTTGCTAAGCTTGTTTTAAGTAGGTGCTTTAGACCACTGAGCCATCTCACCAGCCCCTCTTTTTTTTTTTTTAAAGTACAGTGTCTACAGGGTCTCACTATGTACATCCGACTTGTAGCGATCCACCTGTGTTCAGCCTCCCAAGAGCTGGGATTACCCAAGAGGTGCGTGCCACCATGCCTGATCTCAATTGCAGTCTCAGCATACCTCAGGGGCAGGACTAGCAAGGCTGGGGATTGAACCCTGGCCATTACATCTGCCTAAGCAGGCACTTTAATCTACTGAGCTATTTGGCTGGCTCTGTAAATGAGACTCTAATCCATTACTTTAGTTTTTTATCTATAAAGTTGGGATTACCTAATCACTGTACTTCCTATTAAGGTTTTTGTGACAATAGTATGAAGATTTATTTATATAAGTCCTATAAAAGTCAAGTGTATGCCAACCATGTAGCTATAATTTGGGTTTGAATGTAGTTGATCTGAAGTCATTTCTAGCCAAGTGAAAAGTAATAACACAAGTTAGTTTTAGGAGACTTCAAACTTGTGACTGAAGATAATATTAATGCAGAGGAATCCCGTGCTTATTGTGCTCTATGGAAGGTAAAGGAGGATAGAGAATAAGTATGCTATTTCAACTCTTTAGTATTAATAGATTATGTAGTAAAAAGACTAAATTTATTAGCTCATTTTTTGCTGTTTTCTGTTTTCATTGTATCAGCTGGGCTTATCCTGTTAAGCAATAGTTTCTAAAGCCTTGTTGACACCTTTAATTTTCCAGTAGCACAGGGAGGTTAAATGCAGCAAATGGTCCCCAAGGAGCTCCGAATCAAAGTGTACAGGAAATGCTCAGAATAAAATTCATGCGACAGCAGCGGTCTAGATTGGGACCCTGATATTCTTAGCTGAGGAGTTGCAACTCTAATGTTCTTACTTGGTTTAATCTTATGCGAGCAAGTAGCTTCTTGGGTCTCTTTGTCCTCACTTGATTCTAGCGGGTCATGCGTACTGATCTCTGGATAAAGGAAGACAAAGACATAAAATGCAATGGTTTAGGAAGCAAAACACATGAGCCATGTTCCAACGCAGGGAGCAGGATGCTGCAGAGGCAGGAAGGGGGCCTGGAAAGGAAGGCAAGGGAGGTGGGAGGGGAACAGGAGGTACAGGGTGCAGCATGAGCACACACCAACCCCCACCCTGATTGGAGTCACTGTGTGTCACAAACATACACTAATAAAAATTTTTAAAAACAAAAATTCAGCTCTTTCAAGGTTTCAGTTGGGATCAAAGAGCCAACTCAGTATGAAATCCCCTTCTATGAATGCTTGGAAGAACCCTGAAAAGTCATGCTTTTCTAAGTCACCTACCCAGCTGGTGAGGACACTCCATGTTTGAACCTAGCGCACAGTCAGTTTGCTAGCAAGGGACAACTTGTTGCTTGGCCCTTTCTCTCCCTGCATTTGTCCCTTTGACTTCATACCTCTTCTCCTTCTCCTGCCACATTTCCATCCCCTGCCATGACCTCTATTCTGTTTTTCCTGCATATGACCTTGAACTCCTATGTTATAGGTGGTGAGCCACTTCTGCCTGTTCCACCCTGCTACCTCCCTGAGTCTTTCACAAGGTGGGGAATACTCTTTTGTGCTTGAGTCATAGACATAGTTGGGGAAAGTTTTATGGAGCACTTTGCTCACGCTAAGAAAAAAAATATGCACCGTCTGAAAATGGAAGCTAATCTGCTTTTCTGTAAACAGTGTTATGAGCAACTGGAGTAAAGGCACGGATGTGCTGTTAACGGATTGCTCTTCTGCAACCTCTAGGCCATGCAATATTTTCATTTGCTTTTAGGTCTTAGTGTTTTCCCTAAAGAGAAAGTCGCTAAAATCCTCTGGATCCAGAAAGGAAAAAGGGAAAGAAAAACCCACCAATGTGTACATTACAGATTTTTACATTTCATATCAACTCAGGCTGCAGAGGGAACCAAGAAAATATTTTGGTAATTGTTTCTGTTTCACATTTTTACAAAACAGGTGACTCAGAATCCAGGGCACTAGACTTGGGTTTTTTTCTTTAGTTGTTCATGAGACTTTGGAGAAGACTTTTAAATAGCTCTGTGATGTGTTTTCTCATCTAGGAAACTAAAATGTCTACCCTGCTTACCCTTTAAGAGTTTGTAAAGAAAAGAACAAATAATTATTTGCAAAAGTCTTTTGAAAAATCCAGGTGCCATTACTTGCTGAAAATTTTGGTCTAAAACAATAATTTGGATTTCAGGATACTTTGTCTTGAATATTTCTGCTGTTAGCTAGTTGGATGAGTTTTCTTTTGGCAGTCTCAAGTTTGGGGCCAGATAATCTCATGATCTTCCAAGACAGGAATATTTGGCATTCTGTCCTCCATAGGAAGGAGGCACTGGAGAACTCTGCCACCTCATGGCACGGCAAATAATTAGTGTAAGAAAAAACAAAGTCATTATTTTGCAAGCCTGTACCAACTGCCTATAGCAACTGCGTACAATGCATATATAAAGAGATCTGTCAGCAGCACTAATTGTTCAAAAGAAATGTGTGATAATTTTTCATCTTCCTGCATTTCTTAAAATGTTTAAATAAAATCAACACAGAGACTAGGGTGCTAGGATAGCCTGGACCCACCATACAGAATAAATGCACACCAGCAGGAACTCTGGACTCCCCTCCCACAGCCCACGTCTTGCCCTCCTGGCCTCCTTACCAGGCTCGTTCCTCAGGGCTGACCTGGAGGCTGTGGGGACCTCGTCTCCATCGCTGAGTCCTCCGGAGTCATCGCTGCTGATGACTGCGCAAAGAAGGGAAACCCTGTAAGTCTCCACAATCACAGCACGAGGAAGCTAAGCCCGCCCAAGGCCCTTTAATGTGAAGACTGGGGCGAGGTCTCATCCCAAAGGTGATCAGACTGCTCGGGCAGCTACCCCAGCGCCCAGCTGCTCAGCTCCTCCCTCATGCTCTCTCTCCTCCCACCCCCATCACGTGGCCTGGCTCTTTACCTCTCAGTTCACTCCTTTTTTCTGGGTCCTGCCCGCAACCCCCGCTGTGGCCTCTGTGTATGGCAATGGCCTCTCTCCCCACCTCCTTGGCTTGATGGGATTACCCCATCTCCTCTCATGACCACCCTGATTCCTTGACTTCCCTCCCCCTCTTTTCTTGAACTCCTGCCTCTTGCCTTCTTTTCATTTCTAACATCAGTCCATTTCTGCCTTTTGGAATTTCCTCAGTTTCTACAGCTGAGCCACACGCTTGCATCCACTTACACAGGCGCCTGTGTCCTCCCCTTCCTGTCTCTGTTCCAGGCCTTGGTGGACAACGAGGACAAACCTGAGACCTTACCTGGGAGCCGGCCCTGGGAAGACACAAATCCTTGTAGCCGTACCTATTATGTCCGATGCCTGGCTCCTTTTCACCCTGGTAAGGGTTTGTTGCTCCTCATCTGAGTAAAATGGCTTTTCCTTCTTTATATCCACCAGAACCACAGAGCAGGAATTAACTTGGAAGGCTTGTGTGTGTGTCTCTGTTCCTAGGCCAGATCGTGAGGAAGACAGAATATTCCTCGCCCTCTCCCACACCCTCCCGGCCATTAGCAATCGCCCTCCCGCTTTGCTGTGGGGATGAAGTCCCCGCTGCCCCTCTGTCCTTTCTGTCGTCTAGTTCTCTCCTCTGTGCCTCTGTTGTGCCTTTTGATTTTTACCTGTCCCTTTACCTTCACTCCAATCTTTCGAAAGATAATTTTTACTTAAAAAAAAAAAAAAGATTATGGCCATGATACAGTGTACATAGATAAGAACAGATTTTCAAGGATCACAAAGTAAGCAAAAAACATAGCATTGGGGCCGGGGAGATGGCTCAGTAGAATAAGTGCTTGCCTGGCAAGTTGAAGGGCCTGAGTTCAATCCCGGGTTCCATAAAAACAAACAAACAAACAAAACATAGCATTACCTCAATAGATGCAGAAAAGCACTAGATAAAATTCAATGTTCTTCTTCTTCTTTTTTTTTTTTTTTTGTATTTTAGGGAAGGGTCTACAGGGTGTTCAGGATCTCACTACTAGATCAGACTCATAGTGATCTGCCTGTTTACAGCCTCCCAAGAGCTGGGATTACAGGCGAGCACCACCACACCCAGTCTTAATTGCTGTCTCAACATGCCTCAGGGGCAGGCCCGGCATGGCAGGCCTGAGGATCAAAGCCCCCAGCCCCTGTGCCTGCTTGCAGGTGCTTTAATCCACTGAGCTATTTGGCAGCCCTCAATGTTCTTTCATGCTAAAAAAAAAAAATCTTAGAAATTATTTATTAGGGAATGTACCTAGGCTGAGCCCAGCTGCCAGTGGGGCCCAGCTGCCAGCCTACTTTGGTGGGGCACAGCCAAAAGGAGCAGAATCCAGCAGCCAGACCCAAGCCAGGCCTGCCCAGATGAGTTCAAGTTCAATAGAACTAGACCCAGTGAGCTGAGGCATTCTGCTAGGCCCAGTGGGACCCAGGCTGAGACCCAGAACTACGGTGCAGATCCTCATGGTATGGAGAGGGCTGGAAGGAACTTGGGTGAACTAGGCTGCCTGGAAGACTTCAGGTACATCAAGGAGAGGTGCTCAGACAGAACTCAGGGGAACTAATTTAAATACAAATTCTCAATTTATGATCTGCTTTGTTGTATAGCTATAACATTTGCTCCTATGGCCTAAAGTATGAACTCATTAGTTATAAAAGTTTGTCAGTTTCTAAATTTCATTAGCTGTTATTAATATTGCTAATTGTACTACTGTGAATAGAATACCATATCTGCCTTAACCACATGTTCTCCCTTGGGTAATATTGGGAGGTGCTTGGGTAATAACCTCATCAAAGCCCTATACCAAAGGACAGAGAATGGAGCCAAATGGAAACCAATATCTCACTCTCAATCAACAGAGAAGGCAAAATCTTGGTACACACATAAAACAAGAATCTGTAACACAAGAGAGACACCTAAAGAAGAGACCCTTTAAAGAGAGGTTCTGATTACAGTGACACAGCTGCCTACTGTCAAACTTTCACAAAAAGTATGACAGAAATCAAAATAAAGAGTTCTTTCTGAAATAGAAAATGACAAAACAAAGGAGCAAAATGCAATCTCAGGCCCCAAGCCCACCCAGAACAAACCCAGGAGACATCTGCATACAAGAAATTGGAAGTCACACACTCAAAATATCTGAAACAATAGCAACTAAAGTAAAGAAACAACTGCAGAAGGGTATAGAGGAGATCAGATCAGAAATAATCTCCCAGGTTAAAAAAAAAAAAAGGAATGATAACTATGATGAAAGAATTACTAAGAGTTTCTAAAGACAACACTGATAAAAAAAAATACAGGAAGGAAGATATAAAAATGATGTAAATCTTAAACAAGCAATGTAGGTAAGAAATAGAATGCATGAAGCAGATTCAAAGAGATACATGGCAAATTAAGAACTCCTTAAAAGTTGGCGAAACCATTTGAATGAAAGTGAAGATAGATTTTCAGACCTTGAAGACAGTGTTGCAGCTAGTGACCAGAAAAGGAAAATATCATTTAAAAACAATAAAGATCCAGGAAATAATAATTCAACAGCTGCAAGACAACGCAAATATGAACAACATAAGTCTAATAGGTATCAGTAAGAAAGGACACAACACAAATGACATAAAAAAATTGAGCAGAAGTTATAGCAGAAAATTTCCCAAATATGGAGAAACAAGCTGAAATTCAGATAACCGAGGCATATAGAACTCCAAACAATATCAACCCAATTAAAACTACACCCAGACATACAATAATCAAGATCTCAGTAATTCAGCACAAGAACAACATACTAAAAGGCACTAGAGAAAAGAAATAGATCACATTTAAAGGAAAACCCATCAGAACAACAGCAGATTTCTCTTCACAAACCACCAAGTCAAGATGATCATGGAGCAAAGTATTTCAAGTCCTATGAGAAAACAAATTCCAACTCAGATTGATATACCTTGCAAAACTCTCTTTCAAGTTTAATGGAGAAGTAAAATACTTCCTGGGAAGTACCTAAATATTTCAGTACCTCTAGTATCATTTTCTAGCCTGAGTATTTGGACAAAAGAAAGAAAATTTATTCATAGTAAAGAGGCAGAGATATATTGGCATTGTACATATGGGTCATATATGACAAACCCAGTAAACATTATAGTAAATGGTGAAAAGTTGAGACATTTCCCTTTTAAATCAGGAGAAAGAGAAGGATGCCCACTTTCACCACTCCAATTCAGCATGGTTTCACAAATGGCTAATAAATGCATGAAATGTAGTCAACCTCACCACTCAGTAGGCATGTGCAAACAAAACCACAATGAGACGTCACCTCATACATGATAGAATGGCTATTGTCAAAAAGACAAAAAATTACAAGTGTTAGTGTGGACAGAGGAAATGGAATCCTTGTCCAATCATGATGAACATATAAATTAATGCAGTCATTCAGGGAAACAGTATGGAGATTCCTTGACTAGCTAAACATAGAACAGTACCGATTCAAGAAACAGACTATTGGGTATATACCTAAATGAACTGGAATCAGCATGTCACAAAGATGCCTACATACTCATGTTGAGTACAGTATTATTCTTAAAACCTAAGACATGGCTCAGAAGGTGGTGTACTCCTGTAATCCCAGGACTTGGGAGGCTGACACAGGAGGATCTCTGAGTTTGAGGCAGCCCTAGACAATATAGTAAATTCAAGGCCAGCCCGAACTACATAGTGAGACCCTGTCTCAAAAACAAAAACAAAAAACCATAAAAACAAACCAAGATACAAATCAACCCAATTATACATCACCAGATAAAGAAAATATGATATGCGTACACAACGGAATACTATTTCAGCTGAACAATGAAGCAAATCCTTCCATTTGTGACATCATGGACGGACCAAAGGAACACTGTGTTCAATGAAATAAGCCAGGCACAGTAAAATGAACGTTGCATGATCTCACTTATATGTGCAGTATGAGAGCGGCGAATTCATAGGAGTACAATGATAATTACCAGGAACTGTAGAGAGAGGAGAAGTGGGTTGAGGAGATGTTGGATATGAGAAAAACACATTCAAGGGGTCCATCGTATTACAGTGACTGTAGTCATTAGCAATGTATTATAGTCTCAACAACTGCTAAGAGAATAGGTTTTGTGTTCTCACCACAACACTGTGTGAGGTGGTGCATATGGTAACTAGCTCAGTGCAGCCACTT